GAACGAAATCGGAGCCGGACACCTGGGGCGGTTCCCTCGTAAGCTAAATGAAATAATTAATTGTGGTAACGAAGAGAGAATAATAATTACCGGTGGAATGAATCGATCTTCATGCTCATTAAGTTCCTTTTTTAATAATTTTTATTTGAGATTCTTTAAGTTTAATAGTCGTTCGTTTACGTACAATTAAATAAATTAAAATAAATTTTGAGATAAAATTAATTAAAATGGTAAGACGTAATGAAAAATTGCATTTCTCTGATGATATATCAAATAGCATTTGTATATTGTGTCACGCACCATGTACCTATAAAGATATAAAATTATTTTTTAAATTGTTTTCTGTGTAACTCCTCTCTATTACATATTTCTCAGTTTCGTTAGAATAGGGTCTCTTTTGTCAGTCTTTTACTTGTGCTATATTTTTCGTGTGTATTTCTCTTCCACTAATCGTGTTGATTTATATATATATAACTGTATAAATATTTGCAAGTGAATAGCTTATAAGCACAGATAATGACACAAGAATGAAAAAGACATCCGAAGAAAAACGAGATCTTTCTTTTTCTTCATATTAACAAAAGGCGAAAAGCGAAAATCAAACATGAAAAGTGAAAAAAGGAGAGGCATTTACTTTCTGTTCCTTCTTTTAGTTAGGAATATTGGTCAGTGTTAGAAAGAAAGACATTCGAGAAATATACATGTGAATACACACGCACAATGTCAGCTGAGAAAGATAAAATCTTTGTTAAACTATAATTTTTTTCTTTAAGAAAAGTATCGATTCTAGAACACCATACCATTCAAGTTTACTTGCTTCAATCATAACCTTTAATTCAACAGATACATGAATAACTAAAAGTGGTTGATATTCGCGAGAAATTGCACACACGAAAAAGGTGATATTCAGAGAAGAAACATCACTCCTACACAGAAATCATCCGCCCACTATTGTCCAGCGGTATTTGCACCTCACTAGAGATGTGGTCAAGGATCCAAAAGCCTTAGTTGTGGCACCAGCTCATGTTTCATATCAAATAATAAAAATGACATCCTTTCTGGAAATAACTTTAGATGAACGAACTGCTGGAGTAAAGTTACAACATTGTTACAACAAGTTACAACATTAACTTTCGACATACAATTCTTGTACTTTCACTATCGCGATAAGCCGTTGTTAAACCAAGTTTTTGTATATTACGATAGAGAGCCTGTGTAAAATGAAAATAACAGCCGGCATGTCGTGCTTGTGGAAACTAAAACGAGGTTGAAAAAACCGTGCATTTCTATTGTGTTAGATAATTAATTAAAAACTCTTACTTCATCAGCAACCGCTTTGATTAAAGCTTTTTCGAAATCACTTGTTATTGTATTTGGATTAAATGTTGTTTTTAAACGAGTAGCATGATGTTTCAATTCACGAAATAATTGTGTATAAGTACGAGCTTTACGATCACATA